AGGGGAACTACTTCGAGGGTGATGGATGAATTTAATACCTGAGATAAGTGTACGGGTTTTTATAGGCACAGTCTTGAAACTTTCCGATCGCACCTCGTATGGTGTCATTTACCATATTAGTAGGTTTACCCTTATTAATATATATATATAGAGCGTTTATGAATGAATCGGGGTCGGAGTCGAAGCCGGAGTCGGAGATTTTAGTACAGACTCCAGAGCCCTGGCCAAGATGCATATTCTTAATGTCCTTTACGACATTCTTGCATGCATTCGCCCTCGCAATTTCATGTTACCATGGAGACTAATTTCCAGCTTTAGTTTGGTTGCGTAGACCAGGGACGAAAAGGGGTTTCAAAGACGAGCGATTTTTATGTGTGAATTCGGCGTTTGATTGCAGGTGAAATTTATTTTAAACACATGACTGCATACAATGGCTTGTGATTTGCGTGCACGCGAATTGGGAATTCATGTATCAGCTAAATCTGTATTATATAGCTGTGAACAAGAAATCACGAGAGTAGAGTCGGGAAATATGTGGGAGTAATACGTTTTCACTTGTTTCACAACCCTGAAGATGGATGCAGTTTTTTCTTCGAAACGTTGGCACACACTACGAGTCCATATAACAACCCAGAAGACCAACATCGACATCATCAGAGCCGTGAGCACCTCAAATATCATCCCTACAAACCATGTATATTGTTTCAAGTCAGTAAGAAATATGGCGACGGTGCGAAACATTGAGAAATTTATCGTACTGGTGCTCAGAATGTGTCTTATCCAAAATACAAAGCAATGATGATAAGAACAACACTGTAATTAAAGCAGGCTATTTAGAGCAGGAAGGAACATAAAGTACCGACACTGCATGCCAACCCATCAGCTGACTACGTTTTATTTTTGGATTTTAAAGTTACATTACCTAAATAAAACATTAAAAGAGAATTTTAGCACTGGACGTCTGTGCTGTACGAAAGTAGACTTTGTGCGATCCGCTTGGAACTCCCTGTGAAAGGTTTTAATAAAGTCAGGCATCGTATTTAGACAAGTTGTAAACAGACTCTTCAAATTTTTAATTTTATACAAAACGCCTATGCCATTTTAATTCTACAAAACGTCTAGCTTATTGAGGAGCCAGTTATAACTGCATGCAGACACCACAGCCGTCACATGTTAGCAGGTGGGTTGCGAGTTACGTGGAACAACCTGTACTTTTACGAACCATAACAAACAGCCCACGAATAGACCTACTTGAAACTGGGTGTAATAGAGCAGTGGTATTCAACCGGGGGTACGCGAAGACATCTTAGGGGGTACGTGAAATTTAAAAAAAATTATTTTATGATAAACACTAAATAATGAGTAATGTAATTTATTTAATTTATTTTAGATGTAGATTATATACTATGTATAACTTGAATTATACACCAACAACTTTGGGGGTACAAAGTTGAAGAGAAATTATATCTGGGGGGGTTTCATTTTACCCCCGGTGGTACACGAAGACATCTTAAGGGGTACGTGAAATTTAAAAAAAAGAAATTATTTTATGATAAACACTGAATAATCAGTAATGTAATTTATTTAATTTATTTCAGATGTAGATTATATACTATGTATAACTTGAATTATACATCAACAAATTTGGGGGTACAAAGTTGAAGAGAAATTGTATCTGGGGGTACGCGAACAAAAAAGGTTGAATACCACTGTAATAGAGCGTGTGGCTGTGCAGAGAAGATGAACTGACAAAGACAGGGCTACAACGTATGCCTGCATAGAGTATCTAATGAATCATAAATGTAGTGTATTCTCTCGGAAAGCAAAAATGCAATGACGATACGTCATTATTAACGAAATGGTACAGTGCATTGCTTGAGCTGACAGGGACTCGTGTGAAGATGAAATAAACTTTTGTTATGAAACCGGAAAGCTCATTACCGCGATCATAAAAGTCCTCAATCAGGCAACATCTAAGTCAGTTTAATTTAGTCCACACCATTCATCCCAATTTATCTAAAAAAAATAATTTAATAAGCCATCCTATCTTTGGCTAGGTCTCGCAAATTATCCTTGCCTTGACTTTTCCCGAATAAAACTGAGTACAGGTAGGACTCGGTTTACGCCGGGGCTAGATTCCTGATATTTCCGGCGTAAAATGAAGCGGCGTAAATTGAAGTAAAAATATAGTGGGAAAATATGTAAATAAATTAGGCTCCGTTCCAAGATTTTCAGTAATCAACACAAAATACTTGAAAAATGTTTTATTCTATGAAATTTGCGTATTGAAAATTGTATAATATTTAAGAAAAAGAAAGACAATTTACTATGTGATGTATTAATGTGTGCATTCATTTAATCCGTCTGGTCGCTCTGCTTTAATATTCGTTAAGTACGTTTTAACGTGACGCAATGTTGTCTGCTTGTTGTAATAAACAGAGGTGCATGATTTGTCAGAAATCCATTGACACGGGTTGCCATGCAATTTCTGGTGAGAGCATCTGAACAAGCGTAGCAGGTGGATGAATCCAGTCATCATCACAGTGGACGACGTGTATTTCAAGTGGATGCTTTCACGTGACGTACTCTTGTGCACCATGAGGCTTGCCAGTCATTCCGAAACCCCAGTGTCTCATTGCCCTTCGTAAGATTCTCATTTGTAAGCCAAGAAACTCAAGGCGTTTTGTCTACTGGACCTCGATACGTCCCATCCGTTAAAAGACTCAAATAGTAAGTCGTCCCTAATTTTATCTTCGTAAACATCTTACCACTAAACGTTGCACTGAAACATGTTTATCCTGTACTGTCGGCGACTGTAATCTTGAGACTTGCGGGGAGAGGAAGTGGGGTGAAGGGGGAAAAACAGCGTCTGCCTTTAACGCTTCGGACTTCCTGCATTCTTCCAAGTCTTAAGATTACAGTCATGGACTGTAATTGGCCTTGTTTGGCTGCTGTCAGGCACATTAGTTATTATTATTATTATTATTGTTGTTGTTGTTGTTGTAGTTGTTGTTTAGGCCACGAAGCACGGAAGTACCACAAATAACTAGTTTTAAATAATTTTATGCTTGTAAAATTGAACCAACAGCCACGGTGGTCTAGCGGTTAGAACGCTGGGGTCTCGGGTTCGATTCCCGACGGTGCCTGAATTTGTAACTTGTGTTGGGCAAGGCCGTGGTCTAGGCAACACGGAGTTTTCCTCCGGGGGCTTCCCCGGCAGAGACACGGTGTGTATAATGCATCCTAATGGTCATCCAATGTCTTCAGTGTTTGGTAGATGCAATTGAACATCGTATTGTCTTCGTTCATGACATGACTTATATTATCTTAACCTTAAAATTAAGGGCGTCAAGTCTTGTCAATCTGGCATGCAGAAGAAAACAAAACTGCCCTGTTAGTCACAGTGGGCGCTTATTATCAGGCAAAAATCCGGTACGATTTCAAACGGAGGGAATTTTTGCCATTTCTGAGAATTCCAATTACATTCCTCGGTCATTGAATCAAATGATGAGGAAACGGACGGACAGACATATGAAGCTCATTAGCAGCATTACGGGAACACTAAAACAGAGATAGGATACGTTTGGTTTCTGTTAGAAAGAATAATTAGAAGTGTTTTAGAGGAGAACGGACGAAGACAGATACAGCTCATCGACCGGGAACTAATTAATGGCTGAATGGAAATATAAAGGCAGTTCGTCGTTCCCTCACAGCAGCGAGAAATGCTAGTCAGATGGAGAACCCTGATAAAGCAAGAAATTCAGCGGTAACAATTCCCAACTCGAACTTCAAACAAAACACTCTCGAACTTCTATATCTGGAATAAATGTACCACTGAATCAGTAGTAAAGTTACGTTCAAGAGGTAGCAGTTTATTAACTCTGTGAAGCCGGCCGACTGATTGTATTATCTGATAAAGGCGGTTCAATTTTATTATTATTTTATTTAGTGTTCTGTCTGACGACAGGTCCATATGAACAGGATCCTTCCATCCTTTTCTCGGACTGGGACCTGTTCATATACGTTCTTGGCAGATGATCCAGAAGTGGTTTGCCATTGCCTTCTTCTGGGTGTGAATGGAGTAATTGTTGGGATGCAACGGAGGAAAACTCCGTGTTGCCTAATCCACGGCCTTGCCCAACACAAGTTATAAATGCGAACCCGAGACCCCAGGATTACAAGCCCAGCGTTCTAACCGCTAGACCACCGTAGCTTAACTATACTCGTGACTTCCAATTGCTGTATTTTTCCTTGGCGCCACTGTCTGCGGTAATATTGCGAACTGCGATCGATATAATTGCCTCAGGCATCACGAATCGTCATTAAACTGGTTGGACCCGCAAAATTGCTCGTTTGTACGTGCATTACAGAGGCGAGATTCTCTTTTGATGTCGTAATGAAAACATAACATTTTTGGGTGCAGTCAGAATGTGTTTGTAGAATTATCTTTTATTTTTTTTTTTTTGTTTTCTCGTCCTACTTTGGGCAATTTGAATACAGTCTCCCTCGAAGGCTATTTTTAAACTCGTCCTCTACACAAACTGATGGGAATGAAGTTCCTGAGCTGTTAATGTGTTTAACAAGGAAGTTATCATCAGTTCTGACGTAACCTTGGTACCCCAGGTCCGACAGTGAAATTTGTTACCAAATTACAATTTAGGTTTCCTTTTTGCGTTTGGACTTGAGTTCTCACGACTGCGATTGTGAAGATGGCTGTCTTCTGGGTTGTTACGCCGCTTAGGTTGGTAGAAGCCAGCCGACGTTTCAGAGGTGCTTGCTGCCTCCATCATCACGGTGATTAAGAGTGCAAATTGCAGAGGACGTTAATTGTTATATTCTATGCCGCGAGAACCTGATATCTCTCCCCAGGTTGGATATATTTAATAATTATTTAGATATGCATGGACATGCGTGAAGATTTAATGGGGAATAACGTTTCGGAAGAATTCGTTTTATCCGCGAATTTACGCACGACACGTTAAATTGTTTTTGTGTTTCAGGTTGTCGTTATAGGGGGCAGTGTGTTGGATTCGGTCCTAGCGATCAAGGAGAACTCCATATTGGTAAGTACATAGCCCTTTTATTTGAAACGTCCTTGAGTGAAGAGTCATTGCAATAGGACTCCATCTTCAGGGCGGTATATTTCTCTGTACTGCGTCAGAACTCAGAAAACATCTTCGCCGCTGCGAGAACCTCAGAGCCCATATCCTTAATTTTAGTTTATTGCGAGTAAGGGATATGGGAAGGGTGGATTTAGTCTAATTTTCGCCACGCACAAGGGCTGATCTTACAGGCTCAGCGATGAATAAAGGGAATTAAGGTATTTGCCAGAGCAAGCTGTCCACAGTCCCTGGAACACTTTGTACGACAGGCTTCGAACTTTTGAAATGGTTTTGGAAGTTTCAGGAGCTAAGTTCGTAGTCTAATGTTCCTTTTCAGGCGTTCAATTGGAAGCGTTATATCCGACGGTGGGAAGTTTCTTTGTAAAAGCCACTTTGAGTTTATCACAGACAAGAACAACTCATAGCTTAGATCTGTCAGGAATGCAGCCAGTAATCTAAAACTGGGGTTTTGAAATGTATTGATATTATAATTGGCGTTTTTTTTTTTTTTTT